TGCCTGTTACTCTTCTATACCGGAAAGAGCCATAGGAAAAACAGAATACGGCTTGGTCTTCACTGAGTGTTAGAGACCAGGAAGAGCCCTATGAAAGGCTGTCTCTAGGGCAGCCTGCTGGCTAATTAGGGCTGCTGCTAAACCGCCTCAGCTGGGGGAAGATGGGAGGGACTAGTGATTTCTGATGAGCAGGATTGGGGCGGCAGGAGCGGTTTATGGAGCATGGACGCAGTGGTGGCCATGTCTGTCAGGCATCGGGTAGAAAGATGACAGCCAACTCAGTAATGCCTCTACATTGAGGACCCAGGGTTTCCTATCCCATGAGCTGGGTGCAGGCACAGAGATCACCTAGGAGCAGGTGATGTGCCTTCTCTAGAATGAATGATTCTTTCATGGTGTCTCTGGTGTCCCTTGGAAAAGGGCAAACTCCTGATTAAACAACAACAACAAAAAAATGGTTTACAGGCTTCCAATGTAGGGAAGAATAATGGGGAGTAGTAATCTGGGAAGCCAGTGAGGGTCTTGATGTTGCTAAGGTGATCAGTTGGAATCTCTGTCTCTGCAATGGGCCAGACTCTCCCCCTAGTGAACACAGACCTTTGTCCTGCAAGAAAGGCTGAAGGCCATCAGCCACAGTTAGCAACCAGCAAAACAGCAACAACAAAACAAGACAGCCAACTTTCCCTAATCTTTGTAGATGAACCCGGACTGGAATCACATCTAGCACACAGACTTTGGAGGACTGTGTTGGTCTTGCTTGGCAGAGAGAATTGGTCACCTCAGTCCATGGTGATTTTGATTCAGCATATCAAAGAGGCAGGCCCTCCATGGAGAATCAGAGGAACTGAGCTCTCGAAGTCACTGTGTGTGCCTGAATTACCCTCGCTCTCTGTCACCAGTTAATGAGAAGAGAAATGACTTGACTGTTTTTGGAAACTGAGTCATGAGAGAGGACTCCCTGGACCTGTGGGCTATGTAGCTGCATGCAAGTCTGGTCGGCTACAACTCTGAGCTTTGATGCTGGAATCTCTCTCTTTTCCTCTGGTGTGTGTGTGGGGGGGGGGGGTTCACACTACAAAGTGTGTATGGCTTCAAAGGGTGACTTTTTGGAGTTGGCTCTCCTTCCACCATATGGGCTCTGGGGTTGAACTCAGAAGTAAGGACTGGGGACAAATGGACAACTGCCTTTACCCACTAAGCCATCACCCCCAGTCCCAACACAGACCTTGGTTTTGAGATCTAGTGTTCCACTGGCCTGGAACTTGGCAAGAAAGCTAGACTGGTCAGTAAACCTCAGGGATCTGCTTGTCTCTGCCAAAAACCAGAATTACAAGTGTATCATACCTCCTTTTTAAATTGTTACTTTTAATAATGTGAATTTTGGATCTCAGGTCCTCATGCTTACAAGGCAAACACTTCATTGACTATTCCATCTCCCCGTGGTGTAGGAGTTCCTTCTATTTGTGTGTTGTTTTCATTGGATAATGAATAAAGAAACTGCCTTGGCCTAGTTGATAGGGCAGAACTTAGGTAGGCGGAGAAGACAGAACTGAATTCTGGGAGAAAGAGAGCAGAGCCACCAGATCAGACATGCTGAATCTTTCCCAGTAAGCCACGACCTCATGGTGATATCCAGATTAATAGAAATGGGTTAAATCAAGATGTGAGAGTTAACCAATAAGAGGCTGTTCATGGTGATCTTTCAGGAGCGCTTAGATAGTAAAACCATATTCGCCTAGAGGCAAGAGGCAATCCACAGGTTCTCATCTTTTGTGAAAACAAAACGAAAACCTCTTTTCCAAAGCACCATATCCTTAGACCCAAATTCTGAAGTCAAGAGGATCTGTATGAACCAAGACGGGGATTAGGTGAGCAGCCAAGTGGATCCTAGGCAGACAGATAAACCAATGTTGAAGCCCTAGGAATTGGTGTGTTCCCTGAGCCATCAAGACAGTGATTGGTCCAGGCCAGCAGGCTAAAGCCACTGATGCTGAGACTGGTGGGAGGGGCCATTAGTGCAGATATGGCTATTAAGGGACCTGGGAGGACTTGCATTTAGACCTTTGGGGCTCATTCTAGTAGTAAGCCTCATGGGGGCTGATGTCCAGGGGTAGTGTTTGTGGAGCACATTTTAGGAATTTTGAAAGACATTTGATTTTAGTCATGAGTTATACAAAAACTATCTCACTTATAACAACCCCTACTGTCTAAGAAGAAACCAAGTAGCTGGGCTAAACAATTAGGTATTAACTCTTCAGTGTGATCCACTTCCCAAGAGTCCAGGCACATTTTTAAAATGAACCAGACTGTGGACAGTATCCCACGCTTTTGCCTTTTCACTTTATTTGCCCTGGATGTTTCCCCTCTGCCAGACAGCTGATGTCATCGTTCTTTGTGACAGCAATAATGTTCCCCAGTTGCGTGACATCCAGGTGGTTTCCAGAAACTTGCACAACCGACTTGCTCCACAAGGAACTGTGTCAGTGTGCAACAGGAAATGCACCACTTGGCTACTGAAAAATAAAACCAAATCGCAACCTGTCGGGAGATGCTCCTGCACCCTTACCACAGGATCCAAGCCTGGACTGTGGTCCAGTGTGACAGACAGGGGACGTGCCAGGTTGGACCCTACCTGCTGGACAGGTGAATGCGGGTGCAGGTAGCACCCAGTGTGGCGGAACTGACCCCTTAGTGTCCCAGAAACCTGACCCAGCGGCTGGGTCAGGTCCATGGATTTGGTGTCAGTTGACCTCCTGCCCCACTGACCTAGGATTGCCAGGAAGCACCCCTCCCCCGCAGAGAGAGCCCCTGTAGCTCTAGCTGCGGTCATTCCTTCTAGTCTTCGACTCTTGGAGTCCCCAACACTTTCAAAGGACTGGAACCCTAGACCTTCAAGACAGCCGGCCCATTCCGCTTCTCTTAACAGTGTGCTCTGCTGCCGTTGGTAGGAATCTGGGGGCGCAGAAACAGGCTGGATGCTTTTGTGCCCTTTCGGCCTTCAGTTCACCAGTGTCCTAGTTTGCTTTCGATTGCTGCGGTAAAACGCTGACCAAAACCAACTTGAGGGCAGAAAAAGGTTTATTTCGTCTTATACTCGCCAAGGGAAGCCAATGCGGGGAATGAAGCAGAGATCCGCCAGGAAGGCTGCTTGCTGGCTTGCTTCCTCCTGCTCGCTCAACTACTTTTCTCTTATACAGATCAGGGCCACCTGCCTAGAAATGGCACAGTGCCCCCCAATCCCTGCCACAGCAATCAGCACTCAAGAAAATGTACCTACAGAGGACGTGCCCACCACAGCCTTGTCTGCTGGAGGCAGCTCCTCTCGTGGGGTTTCCTCTTTCCAGGTGACTCTAGCTTGTGTAACGTTGACCAAAAACTAACCAACGCACTCACGGAGAAAGACAAAAATAACCACATCAGAGTTAGGGGTAGGCTGGGGAAGACAGCTTCCGGCCACGGGTCTGTGGGGCTGGGGTGTTGTGTGTGGAGGGGGAGGGTTTGGGGGTGGGCCCCCCCAGTGGGGTCAGTCAGGAATAGCTGTGGTGAGGAACAAGGGTATGTCCTGACAGGAGTTCCTACGCGCAGAGGTTTCAGCTCAGAGTCACACAGCGACTCGGGGACTTACCTGAGAGGAGGGTGCCTTTTGGACCCTGTGGGCTTAGCTGGTAAGAATCTGCTTTGCCCTACTTCCTTCCTTCCCTAGTCCCTCCCATCACTCTCGGTTGCGAGATCTACTACCTTCAAAACTCAAGGAAGGGGAGACACAAAGGCCACCAATCCGACCGGCTCATAGTGCCAAATTCTACTCACCTGCCTGTTTTCCCTGACAGGGTTGCAACTTTGCACTACCAACAAGATGTCCGGTTTGAACTCTGATTGGGAAGCTGGTGCAGCCACCGGCTGGATAGCTCTAGCCCGTGCAGTACCTCCCCTGACTTTTCCTGTAAAGGGCCCCAGGGAGTAGCTCTGTAAGCAAGTTTAGTGGGGGAGCCTCTGGTCTCTGCAACTCCTACTTTTCTCTGAGCCAATCAGAGGTGGCTCCCTCAAAGCAGATGCCAGGACGCTCCTAGTAAGGCACAAAGGCAATTTTGCTTGTGGTAATAAGGACGTGACCACAAAGATCTCGACCTCAACAACAACACCTCCCCAACGGCCCCCTGGAGAGGCCTGTCTGTAAGCAGAGCTTAAGAGTTTGCTCCAGGGAAAGCAGACGTGATGTCAGCTTTATGGTCTTGAACCCTGATGATAACCCTTCTATTGCCTCCACTGATTCCATTTTGTTCTCTACCTTGGAGCCAAAACAGACAGGAGGGAAGTTTTTTGTTTGTTTCTGTTTTCTTTTGTTTTTCCCTCCACGAGGCACTTTAAAAAGTAGTGTCTGAGTCTTCCAGGTGCCCTCCTCACAGGAGGAGAAAGGCCATCCACAGTGAAGCCGATGCAGTGTGGAGTTGGGCATTGCAGAAGCTTCTGACCGGTCCAGAGGTCTCTGTTTGACATGGGCTCAAGCATGGAATTAGTAGGCAAAGCTACCTCCCCACCCCCCACCCCACCCCCGCTTATCTGCAGGGGAGGGATCAGCTCTCAGCTGGCCAGGCCAGTGTCACTGATACAGCTGGTGTCATCGTTACCTTCCACTAACAGATCACTCGACACCTACTGGCCCAGGCAGGGTTGGGTCTGAGTAGAGGTATGGACCCTTATTGTCCCAGAGCCCTAGATGAAGCCACTCTGCAAGGCATGGCAGAAATGCAGTGACCAGCAAGCAACCTAGGGCTAGATTGCTTCCTGCCTCCAGTTCGTCTCTCAGCTCCTCAGTTATCACTGCTTAGTTCTATATTGCTGTCCCAGCAAAGATGCTATATAAGGAAAGGACACCTGGAGTGGCCCCAAAGTGAGGACCCAGAACAGAAGTTTGACTCCAGGCATCGGCCTGGATTGGGGATCTACCTGGCCTTGCGGTTCTGACGGGCTGTGGTCCCGCGTGTGTCCCCTCCAGCATCATGCTGCAGCAGATCCTGCACGACATGTACATCGACCCCGAGCTTCTGGCTGAGCTCAGTGATGTGCAAAAGCACATCCTCTTCTACAAGATGAGAGAGGAGCAGCTTCGGCGCTGGAGGGAGCGGGAGGCCTGGGACACCCTGGCCCAGGCAGAAGGCCTCAGGCCGGCAAATGTGGCTTGCAGTCACCCGGGAGGTAAAAACGTTAATGAGTCCAGGCTGAGTTCTTTCATATGGTCACTAATGTTATAAAAGACGGGGGATTTGAAATTCCTATGCTGGGGGCTCTGATTCCACTAGCTTGGGTTTTCTATCTTCCAACCAGGAAGATAGATGAAGGATGTGGCCAGGATTATGCCAGACCCAGATGGGCTGGGGAAATGGGAACTTGCTTTGTCTTGTTGTATACGGCTCACATTTTGAGACAACACCACTGAAACCATGCTCAGATAGTTGGCAACTGCGTGACGGATAATAGACAACAGTCTTCCTATCATTCTTTTTCTGATTCCGGAAATTGGGTCTAAGAGCTTCCGCATGCTCAGTAAGCTCTCTGCCATTAAGGTGCATGCCCAAACCAAGGATGTATTCTTCTGCCTCGCTACCAGTTTTAGGCATAGTGCCTTGAAGATATGTATGTAGCTTCCTCCCTGCCATGTAGACTCTGGATCTCAGCTCAGGCCTGTACTCTACATCGTGCCTCTGTGCATGTTAGAGGATGCTGTGGTTGTATTTGGAGGTTCATTGCACATCTGGCAGAAGGATTTTATGAAATTTCCTTGGACGATTATTCATCATCTCCAAATGGCATTAGAAACTTCGGGCAAGAAGCAAGGGCCCCGTCTTCTTTATATTCAAAGTTTTTTGTCAGTCAAAGCCATGGACTGATGCTAACTGACCTGCTTGTGACCTCTAGCTGGCCCCAGACAGGCTATTGCACGCCTTTAATCCCAGCACTCGGGAGGCAGAGGCAGGCGGATCTCTGTGAGTTCGAGACCAGCCTGGTCTACAAGAGCTAGTTGCAGGACAGGCTCCAAAGCCACAGAGAAACCCTGTCTCGGAAAACAAACACACAAACAAACAAACAAAAAGATCCTCTTGTGGAGAGTAGCTTTTGTGTATGTTGCACTTGCTTTGTGGTCAGTTTGAATATTGTAATAGTAAATTCTGGGTTACCAATAAAGTGTTGCTGTTGCATGCATTAAGGACGGCAATTTTCCTTAGTGTCATTTGATCAAGAGTGAGCCCAGATTCAATGTGCTACTTCACTCTCACCAGAGCTTCCATCGTCTTCTGTCTGTTGGATGAGTCTGTTTATGTGCCTGATAAGGCTGTCTTGTGAATCTGTCTGTCCCTGTCTCCCGCTCTGTCCCTAACCAAGGGTTTTCTCTCTCTTTTCTTGAACAGTACAGAAAGTATCACTTGGGGGGAAGGGATGAAGGGTACTTTACAGAAATCTTGAACGCAGTTTTATGAGAGATTAAATCACTGATCCACACTGACCGCAAGTAACCCAGATAACAAAGAGTACTATAAACATCATTGTTTACCAAGCAATGTTTGTATGCTTCGTTCAATATTTATGGTGGATAGTCCTTTTCTAGGGTTGTTTTCATCCAGTATTTGCTGGTTTTGGCAAGTGATTATTATGACACATGTACCAAACACATGCATTACTCTTGAGAGAGGGGCATGGGAGCTACCTTGCATGACACTTGCTTGGCTCCTGGATCTTGCCTCAGCTGTATTCTCTATGCTGATACGTGGGTCAACTGTGTGCCCTACGGTCCTTTTATTCAAAGTCTCCAAGGCTAAAACTTGGTACAGTCCACTAAAGCCAGGTGGATTAAGATTTGGGCTATGCATTAGTTTAGGCAGGAAAAGTTGATTACCTGGGAACTCTAGGCAATTAATGTTGGTTGTTACACTGCCTTCTTAAAGGCAGATTAAACAAACAGGCTGAGTTCACAGTAGGATAGCAATCTTAAGTCTTAGTAATATCTCAAGGTGTATTATTCACTCTGGCTGTGAGGTACAGTAAAAGTTCCAGTCTCTGAAAATGTAAAGGCTATTTTATCATAAACACATTGCCATAACTCTATACTTGGCAACACAAATACACTTGCTTGCTTTTTTGCTCCCATGACCCTCACTTGGCCTCCATCTATTCATCAAATGAACTGTATTGCTTTGATTTGTTCAAAGTGTTCAATCCAGGCCAAATCCTGTTCCAGGGCTGGGCATATAGGCTCATTGGTGACCTAGCTTCTGCCTTCCATTCCAGCCTCACTGTTGGTCTGCCCCAATACATACCAATTGGCGTGATGGCACTACCTAATCATGTCCATGGTTTTTCTTACTGTTGGCAATGTCCCTTTGTTTTATGAGTGCCTGCCCTGCTCCTGGAGACTTGGAGGATGCCCTTGGTGTAGGAAGGACTTGCTCCTCTGTAGCTTCCTGGCACTAGGACCAACCCCAGCTGTAGCGTTTGTCACCCTGGCATTGTTATTCACTATTCACTTGTCTGGCTCTCCCAGTAGATCCCAAACTGCTGAACCTTGGAGCTTTACTTCACTGTGTTTTCCTCCCTTGGGGCCCAGCATAGAACTGGGACAATGTTGAATACTTGTTTTGAAGAAGAACTAGCAGAAACACCCTCCACCTGCCCCCACCCTTCCTGTAGGGTGATTGTACCAGAGCTCTGACATGACAGCGGGGGTATCAGTGCTAAGTCTGGGCTCCGTGCTCTGGCAACTGAATCACTAGTTGGGGAAGCCCACAATCAAAGCTTTCCAGCCCCCCTCTGCCTGAGTCCTAAGGCCTCACACCTGTCTGGTAGCTCCTCTGGGAGAACGATAGATGCCTACAAATTTAACTGCAAAAATATTTAGGTGGCGATTTATCACATGCTGACACCTACATTTTCATATATAAATTATACATTATACTCATTTGGGTTTCTGGTGCAGAAGATTCTTTTCTGGGTAATTAGATTTGTAATTTATAAAGAATAGAAAAGAGGGGGAGCTTACTGAGGAATGTGTGCCTCCCAGGCCAAAATCCCATTCAGTTTTCAGTCTGTGATCTCTTTAGTGCTGCCCCTTTGGGAACTGCTTAGGCCTGACCCTGGAAAATTCTAGATAAGGGACTGGCTGTGCCCCAGGAACCAGAAAACATTTTGCTGGAGGGTTGAGAGTGCATATTGCCTGATTCCTGTCCTGGAATCATAACAAGGAGTCTTGAAGAACCTACACCCTGTGTGTCAACTTTGTTCAGGTACAATCCTGAAGGCTCCCTATGGCCGTACTTCAGGTGAGAGCGCCGAGCCTCACAGAACAGATGCAATACAGCCAATGGCACCCAGCTGCTGAGAAATGAAGTCAAATATGCATCTCATGACTTTGACTTAGAGTCTCATGGCCGAACACATCCTATACAATTCCTTCTGATCTTGGAAATGCAGTTAAATGAATAATCTATCATTTGTTCTCGTGTCTAGCCATTCACCCATACATTCACTTATCCTAAGTGCTGACATCGATGGGGATGTGTAGTTTTAGCCTTTGAAACTTTGACTAGAAGGATCACAGGGTACACAGTTACACAAGTGCCAGGATCCAGGTGTCGTGCAAGGCATCTGTATGGTGGCTCAAGGTAGGAACATCCTTCCATTTTTCTCCCCTGCATGCTTGCCTTCTCTTCTCCTAATCTGTTTGGAAGGACACATCTACTGTGCCCCTGTTGAGTGGTCTGCTGGGTTCTTGGGATTTCTCTACAACATTGCTCAAGCGTGCTCATCCTGAAATGGTCTCATGTTCCTCTGGCCATTGTCCCCACCCTGGTTTTTTTTTTTTTTTTTTTTCCCTCTTCTTTTACTTGGAAAAATTTCCAGCTTACAGTAGACCCGAGTTCACCACCTGGGAGCTCAGGTCACACTCTGATAGCACTTAGAGTCAAGCCAGGGCAAAATGTCCTGGCCTATCTCTAGTTATGTCTGACGAGGCTGTGAGTAAACCCAGGGATCATGAATCATTCTAGTTCCCAAACCTTGCTGACATTCTCAACTCTGGGGCACATTTTTGAGATCACAGAAACAAGCTAGGATGATAGCTCAGACCTCTGTTACACGGGGGAAGGACAGGACATTGGAATCCAGGATGAACACACATTGTTTCTCTCATTATAAGACACCCTGCTCTTTGGTGCAGTCTCCTGACTCAGTTGCAGCAAATGGAGACACCCTGCTTGAAAATCTGCTTGTCTACCATCACGTTGACTATTGATACTTCTGACCCTTCGTTGTTCAATGGAAAATCGTATTGTCACATTGAGACTCAGACAGTGTGGCATAACTATGCACCCGCAAGATTTCATACAGTTACACCCACATTCTAAGGTCTGTGCAGACTCCTCTTCCTCTTCATTCCTCTTGGTAACACCAAATTGGTACTCTTTTGCTCATGTGCAATTTCTTGGGGCTGGCATTAAAATCTTAAAGTGTTCAATGGTAAGGAGTAGCAGCATCTCAGTTCCTCTATTCTTGAGTTGAGTTGGGTTGATGCTGTTTTTTAGGGGGGAGGGTTAGAGACAGGGTTTCTCTGTGTAACAGCACTGTCTGTCCTGAAACTTGCTTTGTAGACCAGGCTGTCCTTGAACTCACAGAGACCCACTTGCCTCTGCCTCCCAAATGCTGATTAAAGGCGTGTGCCACCACGCTCAGCTGTTGATGCAATTTTAAAAATGTGTATAGCCTGGTGAATGGAACCAGATCCCTTGGATTTTATCACCTGGTGGTATAACCTTGGAAATTAACCTTACAATAGGAGTAACAAAGTTTTTCTAACAGTAATGTGTGGAATTCAAAAAATGTCTTTGTTTTAGAAGCCTTTAACCACTCTGAAGGCATAAGAGTGGCAGATCACATTCATCTCCCTCTTTTCCTGGTGTGGTGATTTGGGGGTAGCACATCTCTGCTTGGCCTACTTCAGTTTTTCTAGATTCTGTGATGGAGGATAGTGCAGCTTAGAGGGTGGAGCCTTTTTCTGCATCTTTCAAGTCAGCACTGCTGGTATGGTTGGCAAGTTTATTTTCAATGTGTGGAATAAATGGGAGGAAATTCATAATCCCAGAAGACTTCATTTGTTTTGAAGATGTTGATAAACATTCTTATGGGTGAAACGAAGACCTAGTTTTATGATGGGCAT